CATGGAAGATACCAAGTCCACCAACTAATTATGAAAGATAAACATGTATCAAATCGTGATGATATACAAGAATTTGCACAAGCATAACCACAATCTCAAACACCACTTGGAAGAAAAAAGTAGAATCAAATGTCTAAAGGATCAAAAGCATAGTTGTTGGGATATGCAGTGGAAGCAGGGGATCGTGAAAGGCTAGAAGATCCCCATGGTTGGGAGCACCAACCATAAGACGCATATGTTAGAGATCGAGATCCCCAAATGTTAGGGAATCTTGATCCGGACCCTTTGGGATATTGACATCAACCTCTTGGGGATCCTACTCCCAACCTTAAGAGTTTATACATAGCCTAAGACTATATACCCTTTAAAATTGGAATCTCTTTATGCATAGCAAGCAAGAATTGCAACTATATTAAAAATATAGTTGTATTGCTAGCTGGCTATACATAAAGAAATTCATGTCTTTGTAGTTTTCTTGGTTCTTAAGGTGGGGATCGAGATCCCTAATAGAGATCCAGAGCGGGAGGGATTGTTACCTAGACTCTGGCAAGTATGATCAAATGTGCATGTAAGATAAAATTATTGTCCATAGACAATTCAGTTTTCCTCCAATTTCCTGATCCATTTTCATGTTACATGTTAATATGCCCTCTCCAACTCATCTTTGATCCCTAACCCATCCATTCACATCAATTTAAGCTTCCACAAAAAACCATTTAAGAAAATCTTATCTACAGTTCAAAAAATATAGGACAATTTTTTTATCGAACTACATTACGACAGATTCAATAACCAGTCTTGTTCTCACAACCATAGCATTTGAAGAGAATCTCTCATCTTTTTTCATTTTTATTTTGAAAATAGTTTCTCATCATGATTAGTTTTGTTTATATGCAAATAAGAACATACAGAACAGGTGAATCAAGCTTTATTTCAATATATGTCCTCTATAGAATAATCTCAAGCAACAAATCTTTTGCATCTTTGCCTGCTCAGCCAAGCCAGTATCACCAGAGGAACTTCTCATAAGGGCTAGTTTGCATGTCAAAGAAAAAATGCTTATTGTTTAAAAACCTTAACAAGTTTTACAAATACGCAATGGAAAAAACTTGGACTCATTTTTCTCTTTCCTACTACAAAGTTGATTGGGTGTTCCAAAAGTCTATTTTCAATATCTCTCCCACCTCATCGAAAACGTCGCTCATCTCTCGCTTCCATAACATCTACTGCTTTCAATAACATCTCTTGCTTCCATAACATCCCTTGCTTCCAATTGAACTCAATATATATTTCTTTCCTTAACAAAAGCGAAATCTTCTGATCGTTGAACTAGGGATACTCCCGCAACAGTGCTGGTAGACACCAAAAAAATCAATTCTCTAAACATCATCTCACAAAACCAAAAAAGATCTATACCTCATCATCCATTGATATAATAAATTGATGACAAGACACCCACAATCAAATTGAGACAAATATAAAAAAGTAGCAATCTAAGTATAAACTTTGGAAGTATTAGAAAACAAAACTCATCTAGATAAAGAAATGTTGTAACAAACCATAAAACGCTCGGATCCACTACAGAAATCCTGATCACATTACAATGCCTCTCATTAGAACACTCAAAACTGGTAATATTTCACCCCAAGTAGATTAATCGTCAAATGTCGCTCACTAAACACTTAGAAGCACTAAATCTTGAACAACGTTGTGTTTAGGACAAAAACTTGTAGATTACAAAGCAAAATTGGAGTCTTTGTGAGTTTCTCTTGATCTGTCAAATTCTTTTGACAACTTCATCTTCTCTCTTGAAAATTCGGGCCTTCTGGATTTCCCACTTGTTTCTAATCAGAGTGGAGCTCTCAACTCTCTAAATTAGGCTTTTTCGGGTTAGTCACCCACTTATCATCATGGTGAGCTTCATCCTCTCTCACTTAACCAGGCTTTTCTTCATGTTTCTGCTCATGTACCCTGGTCTTCTCTCTCTAAATTGGGGTTGTCGAATTATCCTCCTGCTTCTCAACAGGATGAGCTTCATCTTCTCTCTCCAAACCAATTTCATTTTTAGGCTTCTTGCCACTCCCATCACCTTCATCTTGGCTCCTTCTTTTATGAGTTTTCTCCCACCTCCTCATTACAATTATCTAAACCAATAGCATCTTCATTCTTATTATCTATGCACCTACAACCCTAACAAACTCTACATTGGGTTTTTGGTTTCACATCCTCACCATGGTTCTCCTTCTCTTCTTCCTCTTGTTTCTCATCTTCACTGTCTATAAAATCTTATTCAGCTTTGTCCTCATCCAGTTCATCTATCTCATTGTCTCCACCACCCTTGCTTCATCACCTCTCTCCACTACCTATCCCCTCTTCTTCTTATCTTCATCACTCCCATGTTTTTCCTCCTCTTCTTCTTCCCTCTCTTCAACCCCATATTTGGAGGTCAGTGGTGATCAGAAGGGAGAGAAGGAGAGAGAGATCATTGCTTGTGTTGGATGGGCAGGGGAGAGTGGAGGGGAATAGTGCAGCATGCATATGTTGGGCCCACAGGGGTGGTGTGAGAGACGATGGAACTTCACATCCGAAAAAAATTCAAGTTAGAGGTTTTTGCCTCAACAATGAACTTTTTTAACTATCAACCTGAAAAACATGTTGTTGTCCAAACTACGCAAGGCACTCATCATTAGATTATTGTATAACGATCCAAAATCTGCTGGTGTTGGGTATATCCAAACTAGCCCTAAAATAAGTTCATTCAACAGGGAATTATACACAATTATCTCACTAGCCAAAATAATAAAGAGGGTACCCATCATTCCTAATCTCCTAAAATTAATGTTCTTTTTCCAAGCATTTGCAGCAGATGAAAAAAATACATCTGCTAATTAAAAGAAGAATCCCATTTTGAGGTTTTATTATGCAACTCTTTTGCAAGATACATGTGTTCAGAATCACCCTTAGATATCTCCACTCCAAGACACCATCAAATATTCTCTTGATAATACATATCAATTTGCCGCGAATGGGTTCACCATAGACACTTGAAAATATTCATAAAGAAATCATCCCTAAAAAGTTAGAATCAACTTAATCAGCCAAAACCAATGCACCAACTTCACAGCTCTGGTGATCTATATATTCAGCATTGCCATTTATAATGCATAAAAAGTCATGAGATACATCATGGAACCAAAACTTTCTCAGGGAACGACCCATTCTTCCTTAGAATCACAAAATGTGCTTTTCCAATATATGTAGTGACCAATTTTATTTTATTTTGAGTGTTTATATGTAGTGACCAATTATTCCTTAAAATAAAAAACGGTGCATTGTCCCTGACAATGGTACAAACTTCCAAATAGAAATCTCCCCAAGAAATGGAACTTCCATGTAGAATCCATCAAACAAGGAAACATACTATCCAAACACAGAATTAGCAGAAACATTTTACCATCTAATTCTGCAAGAGTAGAAAATTCTATCTACTTGATGACCCATAGGAAAAATAAAGTAACATGATTAAATTGAAAGACATCATGCAACGCCTGCTAGCACAACCGTACCTTGCATAAGCAGTAGCAACATATAGTAATTCTAAAGAGAAAGGATGAAGATAAAGAAAGAGAATCTCAATTAAAATAAAATAATATTTAAAAAACAACATTGAACGGAGAGAGACAGACACACACACACAAACTCGATAAAACCCAATCAAACATATGCCCTAGCACAGCATTTCTAGCTCAGTAACATGATCTAGCATTTTCTGTCAAAATTTTGGAAACAAATCAAGAATCTGATGAGAATAAATTAAAAATACTAATCTCAATTAAAGAATTTCATATTTATATCACCTTATGACAAACATCACCAACCAAATATTTATCATAAAATTACCAAACTCTGCACGCACAAGTACAAGGGGACCTTTTCTGGAAAACGGAAGCACCTTTTTCTTATAAATGAATGAAAGGGGATCTAAGATTCAGATTTATCAAGAGAACCACCATTACAAAATTCAAGGAAAAAAAGGATTAACATTCTCTGCATGCAGAAAACAAATTAAGAAGAATTGGAACACAAATTCTTTTTATACTAATGGTTTCAGAGAAAGGAGAGAAAAACCACTGAAAGTTTCCAATCAAACACATGAAATAATGGAAAATAAAAGATGACTGGAACAATTGCAGAAGAAATATATAGATACACACACACAGAGGATGAGCATTTAACTTTGAAATCCATCAATAAAAGGTATCTAACATACACAAAGCTGTAAGAAAACCACCATTGCAAAATACAAGAAAAAAGTACCACATTTTCTCTGCAGGAAGAGAAAACCATTTGAGAACAAACCAGAGAACAGAGAAAGAAACCCACCAACAGCTTCGAACCAAACATATGAAAAAAGGGAGGGAAAGAAAGCAAATAACATAACAATTTCAGAAGAAAATAAAGGAAAATTATTACCATCCTTTAGAGGTAGAGAGAAAGATGCATAAAGGGAGAGAAAGGACCCTCTAAACTCGACATCCGTTGACAAAAGAAATCAAACATTCACAAAATTTCAGAAACCAGAACAAACATTCACAAAATTTTCAGAAACTAGAGCAAATTTATCAGAGAATCGTTTTCTCATGCCCAAAGAAAAAAGGCAGAAAAACAGAAAAGAGGCATAAAATGTTTCGTGAAGGCTACAACAAGAACTGTCTCCATCCAATCACAAACAAGAACCTATAGAACCCAATAATCATAAGAACGAATTACAGAAAAAAAAATTATAAAAAAAATGAATCATCTTCTCTCTGCAGGAGAAAACCCCAAATGTTTTTTCTTTTTCTTTCAAAAAAAAAAAAACGCAAAACATGATCATGAAGGTTTTGCACAAGAGAAAGAATATGCACGAACAATTTCCACCCAAACATAACCAGCAAATTACAGAAACCAGAAAACGCACCAATTGCATGAGAAATTAGGTGGGGAAGAGAGAGACAAACCTTTAGAAGAGAAAGGGGAAAATATCAGTGGAGAGAGAAGAGAAGCGATGAAGAGTTCATAGCAACAAAAGGGTGACCCTGAAAACGTTCTCGAAATTGAACCAAAAAATCAAACCAACCATCTTTCGCGTTGAGAAACGGAAGGCACGAGCCAGAGAGGGACAGCGAACCCTCATAAAACAGCGAACCCTCATAAAACTGCAACCGGCCTTTTATCGATCCTTATGACCATGTATGATGGATGTATATATGCATGCATGCACAATACATCATCCATGGGAATAGAGCTAGTAATGGACCCGGCCAGACTTTGCCCTAGACAGGTCCTAGCACCATAGGGTTGGCCCAAGCCCGGGATGGCCCTAACTGTGCGAAAGCCTTATGTATGCATGCACGATAATATAAAGGAAGCCTAGGCTCTAAACAATCAAATTAGAGCCTACCTTCAAATACTATCGGTTTCAATAATGAAAATATTTGTAATAGCTTTAAATTTTATTTTCATTTTTATTTATAAAGTTTAAAGCTTCAAAAACAATGTACATCGATAGATCTATAAAAACTTGAAAATATTGAAAATTGACAGTCCAAAAATACGTTACAAAATAAACTATTTTCAAAACTTGAAATTCATTTTTTTCTCATGTCCATGTATCTTGATGTCGAGATGATCAATTTGAAAATATTTGGACATCAAAACAACATCTTCTAGTAAAATTTTTGAAGTAGGTTCAAATTTGATTGTTTAGAGCCTCAACACTATATAAACCCTTCTCTAATATAAATCATCCATGGAAATAGAGCTGGGCTGAGCCACCCTTGCCCTAGACTAGTCCTAGTCCCTATTGGGTTGACCCAAGCTCTGGATGGCCCTAATTGAGCGAAAAAAGATTTGGCTCAAGTATCAAGGCCGGGATAGGCCATGTACGGGCCAAATAAAATAAATGAATAATAATAATAGAGAAAAAAAGAGCAAGCCTAGCCTAATCGGACCGGCCATAACCCAAGCCTAGCCCGGCCCTACCCTTGGGCTGTGATTGCCCAGCCCTATCCTGTGCCACCTTTTCTGGCCTAAACCCAAGTTTTCTAGGGCCAAGCTGACCGGCCGAGCAGACCACCCGACCCATTGCCTCCATGGGAATCCTCATTTTCTCAACATCATGCCGTGCATCGGCGACTTTATGGATCGTAGAACAATGGAAATGTGCATGTCATGGTATGGAGCAGCACATGCATGACCCATGGAGCAATACACGTATGCACTACGTAGGCGCTGTGTACACGTACAATTCGATAATGAGAATGCCCTTTAGGGGATGCATACACCACATGTGTATGGTTTAGGATTCTTTTCATTCTAATATTATTGAAGGATGCCCTTTAGGGGATGCATACACCACATATGTACGGTATAGAATTCTTATCCTTACCTTATTATTGAAGGAACCCTCACGCATGTGATAGCTCCAAAAAAAGCTTTAAAATCGACGGTGTTAACATTTTGTTACAAAATTTTATTTTTGTGCTTTTAAAATTTATTTTTTTCAATTACTACTTACCATGGTTAAGATTATACATTTCCCAATTTTATGCTTCCCCTACCATCGAGCCATCTAATTTTGATCAAGAGAGTCACTCGCTATTTGATCTTAGATCCGACGTCTCAAAGTATTTTATTTTTAGTTTTTTTATATAAATTTTATGAATATGAAATTTAGTATGTGTCATATTCTCATTGGGGAGCACCTATAAAAAATATTAAAAATACTTTTTTGATAAAATATAATGATCAAAATACCTTTTGAAACTTATAAGGGTATTTTAGTCATTTTATTTTATTGAAAATATTTATTTTATATTTTTCGCTAGTACGAGTTTAATAGAGGATTAGACGTCCAAAATTTGGTGTCAAAACAATTTATAGAAAAAAATAAAAATAAAATATTGTAGAGCCGTGACATTGTGATTGAGGCAATCTTAGCCTTCCATTCAGAATGGGCGGTTGTATAAGGGGAAGTATATAAGTTTTATGTTGTAAGGGAAGCATAGAAAGCTTGCCCAAATTTTAAATCCAAAATCTATTTCTAAAATAGAATTTAGAGAGGACCCATTTGAATAGCTAAGTTAGCTAACATATATAATCCTTTCCTGTGATTAAAAAGTTCATTTTGTTTACAAGAAGAAGGTGGGGCATGTTAAGCGTGCACTGTGTCAATCTTATATAGTAGAAGGTGCACATCAAAAACCCACCGGAAAAGGTTGTTTTGAAGTTGGAAACCCCCAATCGATCATCTCAAACTCATGATGTATAGATATTGAAAAATAAAATAAAAGAATTCAAGTCATCATAATAGTTCATCTTGTCACATATCATATAATTCGTCAATTTTTAAGATTTTCAAGTGTTTTACATATCTACTTGATCGGTACTATTTTTGCAATTAAAATAGATTTTCTAGGTCATCTTCAGATTTTTAGCACAAAAATTACATCTTTCAGCATAATTTGAAGGTACACCTTACTTTAGTTTTTTAAGGTAGATACCTTATAAAAATGTCACCCCTTCTTAATTGCTGTGAAAATTGCGAGCCCACAATTGTAAAAACAAAACCAAAGCGCATAGAAACAACTTGAGCGTAAAATTCATATTTTCCTTTCACAATAAACATGCAAAAGTCAAAATGAGTTTAAAGATAAAGCCTTGAAATATGAAAACAAAGTCCCAAAATAGGCCATTAAGGTGTTCCATGTGGTGATGTCACTCGTCGTGTATATGATGTCACACCTCTCCAAATGACTAAAAATACCATTACTAAAAAAACTCCATGTACAAAATAATTGTATATAAGTGTCCAAATTTTGTTGAGTACAATGATAAATTAATCTATAGTGTGAGCACTCTAACGTTACGTTTTAAATAAATATAACTATATTATTTTAATTAAAATATTTAAATATTGCATATATAGATTTAATATATTTACAAAATATATTTAAATACTAAACAAGTTACCAAACATATTTAATTTATTGCACAACGTGTTAATAATCATGGTAGAAAGAAAGTTTGTGAAATTTTTTCCTACAAAATGTTTACATATATGAATATTTTTTCTGGAGAAATATTTCTGCACCAATCAAACGTGTTTTAAAGAATGATAAAAAATGTACCAACAAAAGGATAAAATCATATACAATATGAGAACAGACACATTTACCATTCTCCAAATAAGTACAATATTAGGGTGTACTCATACCTATCAGTTTTTTTTTTTTTTTAGAAACATTTAACCATTCATATCATCATAAACTCAGCCATCATAATACATGAGCCAAAAAGGCCCAAAAACTACTTATTACAACGTAATATCAAAGCAAATTAAAGTTGAAAAACAAAAGCAATCACAAAATAACAACATTTAAACTCGCCAAAGCAACACCTTCTTTGGCAAGTCGATCGGCTTCCATATTTAATTCACGAAAAACATGACCAAATCTCACATTCAAATCTTCACATTCCATACACTTCTCTTACTAAACCATGTAATAGCCAAGGACAATTAGCTTCTCTCTTTATTCACTATATTACATTAAGTGAATCTCCTTCTACCATAGCTGGTTTGTTAAATTGCTTACCCAATTTAACACCTTGAAGCAATGATCTTAACTTCACCTCATTTTACGTGACATTCCCAGCCAGATTACCACACATTTCCTAGGCAATCACGAATGATACCACCCACCCCTACCGAGCCTGGATTACCTATTGGACTTCCATCGAAGTTCAATTTGACCCATCCATCTTCTGGTGCTTTCTAACTTTTATCTCTTTAAAGCTCATTTCTCTCAACAATATATGTAGATTATACATCATATCTATACGAGGCATTCCCCACCAATGCTTGTTAATAACTAACCAATCTGCTACAATTATTCTTATTTTTTCTTGTAAATCATCAATTGATTTTCTCAAATTTTCAAAACAACATCTATTCCTTTCTTTCTATAATTCCCACATTGTTGCAGCTTTATCCACTTTCCAATTACATTTTCCATTCTTACCTACATCTGGTAAGTTCCCATCATCAACAAATCTACTAGCCTGTGACATAACATCATATTGCACGCCCAACTAGTTAAAAGCCTATCTCCAGATACTCTTCCCAACAACACAACTGAAAAATAAATGGTCAATTGTTTCTTCATTGTTTTTGTACATTAAACAAACATTTGAAAGTACTTATCCTCTTCTTCTCAACATATCCATCGTTAACAATTTATTTTGTGTTAGAAACTATATAAAAGCACGAACTTTGAGTAGAATTGGCCATCTCCAAAATTTTGCGAGGCTTTTTTCTTCCCATCTAATGTTGTCATAATACATTAATTTGTATGCAGATTTCACAAAAAACTTATCTGAACTAGTTGGGGTCCCTACACACCTATCAACTTCACTAAGATATTAGAAAAACTATTGTAACAAGATTAAACAATTAACTAGCTCATATGCCACTGCACTACTTACTCTTCAATGGGGACATTGGATATCCCAAACTGCATTAAATCCTTTACCACTTACAATCTCATTAATCATCTTACTTTTGGTATTAACCTTAGCAAAAAGATTAGGAAATTGAATCTTTAAAGGACTATTTCCAACCCAATTTTGTTGTTATCATTTGACATTATCACCCTTCCCCATCAATATTTGCATATTTCTTAAAAAGAACTTCCGATGAACATCAATCCCTTTCCATATAGAAGTAATACTTTTCTATTACTATCCCTTGCAATAATACCATGTTCTTTATCACAACTATATTTTTCACCCAAATTTTTTTTCAATGGCTGCTCTTTCTCATTTTTAACTCTCCACAACCACTTAGTTAAAAGAGCATTATTCATACACAAACCTTCTCCCACTTGACTAAATGAAAACATTTATCATTCTCATTTTCACCCCAAAGAAATTTTTTCATAATTCCTTCCAAAATTTTTACCACACTTGTAGGTAATTTGTAAAGTGACATATAATAAATGGGCAGATTTGCCAAGGCTGACTTGATAAGAGTAAGTCGACCTCCAAGAGATAACAATTTGAATTTCAAGGGGTCATAATTATATTACATTTTTTGAAGTAAAGTGTCCCACAAAGCCGAAGGTCTATTACTTTAAATTAAAGGCAGGCCTAAAAACTTCAAGGGAAAGCTTCCAATTCCACAGGAAAGCTCCCAATTCCACAGTCTACCAGATCAACAAACTCTCTAATTTTATTTTCCTCACATGCCACCACATATATATACTTTTTTTGTAGATTTACTTTCTGGTCCGTAATAACCTCAAAGCATTTAAAAAACCTCTCAAGAGTTTTAATCTCTTGCCCATGGACTCCACAAAAGATAAGTGTGTCATCAACATATTCAACGTTCAAAACCACAATTCCATTAATCTTAACTATAAAACCACTTAGAATACCCAGATCAACAACTGATTTCAACATCATACTAAAGATTTCACCCCATAATTGTAAAGAAGAATGGAGAAAGAGGATCCCCTTGTCTTATCCCTTTTGAGGCCTTAAAGAAACATTTTGGTTTGCCTTTTATCAATATAAAAAATGTGTAGATTTCAAGCATCATTTAAGCCATTTCAGCTATCTCTCACCAAAACCTATAACCTTCATGGTTGCAATAATTTTTTTCCATCCAACCTTATCATATATTTTTTTCAAATCTATATTACACACAATTCCAGGTTTATTCTCGGCAATTATTGAGCTTATAACCTCATGTGCACATAAAATACTATCAGTAATCCGTCGGTCCTGAATAAAAGCTGAATGTGGACATTTGACAATCAAAGGTAAGATTTGTTTAAGCCTTATTGCCAAACACTTCACCAAAATCTTATACAAACTAGTCACAAGGCTGATAGGTCTTATCTTTGAGGCTTTTAATCATACATTTTTTTGGTATCATGGCAATAAAAGTTGAGTTAAAACTCGTATTTACCACCCCTCTATCATAAAATTTATTTATCACACCAAAGGTCTCAACATCAACCTGATCCCAAAAATGATGGAAAAAAACCTAAGGGGAACCCATTCAACCTAGGAGCTCTATCTCCTGTAAGACTAAACACAACTTCATTGATCTCCAATTCTGAAAAAGGTCTCTCCACCCATGAGACAACCCAGACCACCCATGAGACAACTTAGAGAATGGTACCTGATTAAAATTAGTTTTAGGTACAAGCCCAGCAGAGCAGGCCTCCTGAAAATGCTTAACTATAGCATTTTTCAATGCATTCTCATCACCCCATTCACTATTTTCCTAGCATCGGTAGTAGCACGGAAGAAACGAGTGTTAAGATCCCCCTCTTTCAGCTATCTCACCCTAGTTCTCTGTTTCCAATAAGTTTCCTTAACCCTAAGACAAATCTGTAAATCCCTATTTAAATTATTTCTCAAAATTCTATCCTCCCATTTTCCCGAACTCCCTACTTTCAGGTCAATCTCAGTAATTTTGTTGAAAATCTCCTCAAACTTCCTCTTGTAGTTAACCCCATTAGTCTTTTTTCAATTAATAAACTCCTTTTTAACACTTTGCACCTTTTTGGATACTATGAAACCATTCTAACCTTCCACCCCTACTCCTAGTCAAACATTTTTCCCCAGCTGATTCACATCGTTATTCTTAGGGAAAAAGTTTATATAAAGTTGCAACCTTGTATGTAGAACTACGAATGCACATAAAAAATCCATCGAAAAAGGTAGTTTTAATGTTGAAAAACTAGTTGATTGATCATCTCGACATCGAGATGTATGACCATGAAAAATAAAAGNTTTTTAAGCTCATAAAT